AAATCTGAACAAAGAGAGGAAAAGGCAACATTTTTGTCTCAAAATTTCCAAACTTGTAGAGACATACTCCAAAAGAGTTGACACTAGTAAGTGCAGTGAGAGGCAGTTCTGAAAATTATTGATAAAGTGGGGCTAAAGAAAAAACACTAGTTGGTTTTAGTTTTCTTTGTAAAAAAAATTAAATACAAATACTAAACCTATTTATTATTTTCCGTCAACTTCACAAATATAAACTACTGTTTGTTGGTCAATCACAAAATTCTATAAAATATAATAAAGTTTCTCGTTGTATCATCACAAAATGTCAGAAATTTCAAAGAATGTTCTAAAAAAAGCTTTAGCAAGATTTCTTTCCTCCATCCTTCCTTTTGTAGAATTCCTTGATGGGAAACTTAATTCCATTTTAGTTGCATTTTAGAAAAAAAGTATCAGCATCACCTTATCTTGGAGTCAAGTTCTTTTCGACACAACAAATAAAATAGAGACATTAGCACCTAAAAATATGATTTTTTTTTTTTTACTTTTAGATTCTGTCACACTACCATGAACTAATAGGAATTCAGAGTCTCATATTAGGAGAGAAGTTCAGTCATGTGCTGTGCTGCAGTCAAAGCCATAGGTTAGACGACCGCTAACTTATTAACAGAGGCTCAGAAGGCCAAGCCAGCCATGACTACATAGTAATGGCTTTCTCTCCAACATCTTAAAGAGGGATCAGTTCAGCACCAGGGACTTCTCTCAAATACTACTGGCTTGAATTATATTTCAAAATCACACCATACAAGGAGGATGCTGAACTTTTGTAAACATAAAAGCATAAAAGTGAAAAAAAAAAGACAGAGAGAAATTAGATAATTCACATTGGCTCAGATGCATAAAGACTTCAACACCATGCCCAATGTCACTTTTTATACAGTATGAATACATCAGAAGTGACATCTGGGTTTTGAAGCATTCAGGTAGACACTTTCTTTTCTTATTTTCTCGCCTGCAGCTAATCCCTCACCTTTTGGATCCAGGAACAGGATCTAACATCAGTAGAAACAAACATCAGATGAAATAAAAACGGCACACCAGGAAGCCATGACAGTTTTCATATGATGAAACTCTAGGACACACAGGGGGTGTGGTGGGGTCTGGAATACCCCTTAAACAAATGTAAACAGAGACTGAATGAATGGTGTCCTGAATATCTCCGAGGGACATGTTTGCCTAACATCTCATCTGAGTCCACACGGTGCAGATGTCTCTAATTCATCTGGTTGTTTGGATTTCAGTCGAGTGTGCTGGATCTCACTATCTTGAATATGACCCACCCGATCAGACTTGTCCAAGGCTGAGGACGGCGATGTTTGTCTTTCTGTGGGAATAGGTCTCCAAACACCAGCCAAGCAAGGCAGGATTTTTCTAGATATAATTGACATTTCTGAGATCTAAGAGATGTTTGGCACATAATCTAGGTCAAGAAGGCTGTGGTTGTGAGATTGTAGCACTATTGTGTATTAGGTAGCTATGTAACTACCTCACATTTGTATTTCCTTCTTTTTTACCATTTTAATTAATTTACTACAAGTAGGTAGTGTCAAGTTATGACAAAATAAACAATATGGCATAAAATTTAAGTTAATTTATTTCTCCTTGGACAACAGACAAATATGACTAAAACTAGGACAGTCATGAATAATCACCTTACAGGGCGAAGTATATAACCTTTCTGGGGTTGTATCTCAGTCTCTGTGGGTGTATGTTTCTCCTCGAGAGCAAAGGGCCATAAATGAACTCCTAAATCACACTATTGATCAGTTCTTTTTCTCTCAGACACACAGCAAGATTGAGGGCAGTTAAATGGTCTCATTGGTTCATGCTATGTCCACATCAAGGCCGCCCCCTAAACTCCACTTTTCGTCCTCTCACATCTGTAATAACTAGTCCTCTGCTCTAATACTACAAGTTTATGCAGCTGAAGATTAAGTTTCTCTGCCAATCAACAGCCACCACTGAAGTCGGTTTACCTTACAGAGGTAAACAAAAATGGGTCATTACCTTTGTCAACAGGCTGTTATCGAAGAAGCAGTGCAATTTATCTTCTAAATATCAAAATTAATGATGTTTCCAGTTGGAAAAAAGCAATGATTTGCTGCTTTGAAATTCCTCTTGTAACTTGAAGATCATTATGCTCACTCTTAAAGAAATATTTTAAAGCTGCAGTTTCTTGCTTTTGTTTGTCCTAAATACTGAAGATTTTTAAAATATTTTTCATGTTAAGATAAAACATCCAACAGTAATTTAACAGAAGATTCACAAGGCTTAGGAGACACACAATGTTGTCAGTACTTAAGGGGCTCATGACATTTTACTTTCATAAACTTATAACTTTCTGTATGATAATGAAAAATAAGCTGTCCTTCATTCATGCAAAAAAGTTGTAGTTTATATATGTCCAACCAGAGTTTCTACTTTGCGGAGAACTGGTTAAAGACCCCTTTGAATGTTCCAACTTTGAGAAAAGAGATGGAGTTTTCCTATCAGCAAAATAAGGTTGACAGCACTGATCCAAATAATAATTGCTCTGCTGTTTCTTTTTGTTTACAAAATTTACTTTGTTCACCACAAATAAATAAATCAAAGTCTAGTTGCTTTTTCCTCAAATTATGTGTATGAAACATATATGATGTCATACAAACAGGTAGATGATTAAAAAGATTAATGAAACAATTTTGACATAAATCTTTTTAAACAGGTTTTGTTAGTCTAAAATATATGCATAAAATCTGCCTCCACAAATTATCTCTGTCTGGGACAGATTTCTGTCTGACCTAACCCCCCTGGATGAAAGCAGCATGTTCATCCCGCAAGGAAACTGCTGTAAGAAAAACTTCTGTTTTCAGAGGTTTTTTTTTTGTTGTTTTTGTTTAAGTTAATATTTATGCCTTAAATAGAAGACGTTTCCATAATCTAATACAGGTTCCATTCCTTATTGCTATAGGCCTTGTGTCCCAAAGAAGGACAGTAATTTTTGTCAGTTGTTTTGCACATCCTAACCATGAACTCTTTGTATACCTCTGCATTATCAGTTGCCGTCTGCCAAAAACCCCAGTCGAAGTGAGGAACAGTGCAATTACCTGGTGACAAAAGGGCCACATAAAGATGGACATAGGCCCGGAAGATTACTGGAGGAGACCTCATTACTGAAACAGGTCTCAACAATAGGAATGGGCAATGCTCTTTCTACATCTATCTGTCAGGTGTGCTATTAGCCTGTCAAACAGGTACAGTCAGCACCATTAGGCCACCTTTATAGTCAGACCTATTTACCCCCTCATTTTTCCCACTTTCTGCTGTCATGGTCCATGTTTCTGGTAGAAAAAAAAAAAGATCAACCAGTTTTCTGTTCTGATTTATCTCTCCTCTCATTCCTCTCCAAAGTCCCCATCAGAAAAAGACAAGTGCAGTTGGTCATTATGTTCCTCTGAGAGTCGACGTAATCAAATGTGGTATGCCATTCTGTAGCCAAGGCAAATCTAATTCCAAAATGTGCTCCAATCCAAAAAAGAAATTGGGAAAACCCAATTATAATTTATTTGGCCTCATAGATAAATGTACAGTAAGCTGACTCAAGAATTAAAGCTAAAAAGGGACTAAAATAGAATTCATTTGACATGTGGTATTCCAACATTGGATGGGGCAATATATTCAATCTCCTATGCACAGAAGATGGGAAAGTAGAGTTGAAACCAGATATTTACATATGCTGCTTATTAAAAAAAAGCATTTCTCTTTTGCCTGACATTTAATCAGATTTAGAGGTCTGGACTTTCATATTAAAAGTACTGAAAGCCTAATGTATGTATGTCCTGCAATTACTTTTTAGGGTTTTGGAGGTAGATTTTAGCTTTGAGCAGTCTGCTTTCAGGGTGAACTTGCTTGCACACCCAGACCTGGGCATAATGTTTGTTGTTTTGAATGTCCTTTGCTTGCAGACCTTTACCGTCAAGTTGAATGACTGATTACAAATTCTTTAGAGAAATCTTTATATCTCATATAGATGTAGTGAGTGCTATAATATTCTTTTTGAAGTCCTCCTTTTATCTAATCATGTTGTTCACCTTCGTTTCGGTAGTCAGGAGCAAACCAAAGAAAATGCTTTCAATTTAAACAGAGCAAAAGGGTAAGAACAATTTATTCCTCACAAGAAGTTACATTTTCTTATTATGCAGCAGATTTTTTTTTTCCTTTTCTTTCTATTTCCTACTTTGAATTTTTTAGTATTGGTAGAAATGATATTAAGATATAGATTGGTACTTCTTGGCAAGACTTTTTTTTATTTAAACAAACTTTGCTCTAAATATTAATTGGAAGATTAAGTAAGACCATAAATATTACTGTATCACTATTTTAGAGCTAAATTTTAGAATGTTAAATTAGGCCTGTATATTAGGCTTGTTTCCGTCACAAGATTCGGTGAGCAAAAAGGCCACAAAGGAAAGACCAAAGTAGCGGCAAGCCGATTTTGTCCAGACTGAAATTATAAAAAGCTACACATTTGGTCCGAGCATAAATTTCACAGCTGTGATGTCAAAGAGGAAAGCAATTACTTTAATCCAGAGAAGGTGGGCTTAGAAAGACTGCAAATATGTACACATCACCTAACAGTCTCTCCTCGCGCTTCACAGCCCTCATCATTTTCTGTGAAGTAGGCATGAAGGCTGCTATGCCATGAAATGTAAATCTGCAATGCACATAGTACCAGATTATGCCTTTTGCTGGCAAAATGATTCACAGTAGAACATGTTACCATAATAGAAAATTTGCAGTTTTACAAATGCAAAATAAAATATAGCCAGTACTAAAGCTGATACAGGAAAAAAAAAAAAAAAAAAAAAAAAAAAAAAAGCTCAATTACGTCATTTAACTGTATCTAGTGTAGAAGTAAATAATGTAGATTCTGTTATTTTCAAAGCTGTAAAAATGATCATGACCTGGAAACACTACAGACTCACCAGCCTGATTGGTGGTGATGTCTATGGTGACATGTTGTGCTGGGTATGGGCTCTTGTTGCTGACACCGTTGACGGCTTGTATCTCAAAGCTGTAGAGGGTGTGAGCCAACAGGTTACTGATGAAGACCCTGGTCTCTGTCAGACCCAGCTGTCGAGTAACAAAGTCCACGTTGTCATCGCAGTGTGAACAGGAGCGTCGGTCCGCTCTGCACTTCTTGCACACGATGTTGTAGACGACATCATCCCGGCCGCCTGTTTCCCTGGGAGAATGCCACTCCAGGATCACTGAGGTCTCATTCACTATGGAGATCACATTCCTTGGGCTGGATGGAACACCTGAAAAGACAAGTTTATTTTTTAATTATTCATTTTCTTTTAGTTTTTTTTTTTTCTTTACAACCCCAGATGTTTACTAATTGATCTAGAAATAGATATACACTGCCATAAATGGATGACATTGTGTTACTTCTGTATACACTTCCTGAACTATAAATATGTCTCTTATTATATTATTGTTATTGTTGATATTTCTTTTTAAATTGTTTTTAACAGTTTAAGAACTTTTTGAGTGAACCTATGTTTTTGTTGCTGCTGTTACACCTGAATTTCTCCTTTGTGTGACAATATAGGCTATTTCTATTCTATTCTATTCTATTCTATTCTATTCTATTCTATTCTATTCTATTCTATTCTACAATACATATCTAGATAGCAATACAATGTACACCGAACAATGCAGATCACCAAGTAAATCATCGTCTAATTATACCTGCCTTACTGTAGATGGGAGATTTTTTATCTAGTACTTTTGTTTTGGGCAGCCATTGTTTTATGCATTGATTTCTGGTGTCACATAAATAATATCCTCATTGTTTGGAAATCTTAGCCTGTGTTTCTGAGTCTTCTCCTTGCTTTTCTTCACATTGTTTTGCTTTTTTTTAAGTTCTTTTTGACACAGAAATGAATGTATGTATTATAAACTACAAGCTGTAAACAATGTACAATGCTGTTGAATATTTGTTTTTCTCAGTTCAATATCACTGAACTGTAGTCTCTTCCATTACTGTTTTTCCTGTTGTGCTTGGTTCAATTGTTTTACTGGTTATACCTGCTAACACTTTCAGATTCCATCTGATTGTGTATAAATAACCAATAAATGATTGGTTACCTGATAGAATAATATAAGTCCTAATTTAAATTGCTCAATACCACTCACTTTTATGTCTCAAAACATTGCATTTTAAGCAAAGCTGTCATTGTGCATAAAGCAAAAATATACCTCATATGCGAAGGACCGAGAAAAAAAACTCCAATCTGTTAAATTACTAATTTACAACACTTTAATAAACACAAGTGCTAATATCAAACACCCTTGTGTGATTTCTCTCAATCTGAAGCACAATTTAAATGGTAATTTATTCTATTCATAAGCAGAGATTCTACAGTGAATGTTCATGTCTATCAAATATTGGCTATTTACAAAAATGCAGTGTTGGATGAAGTATTCTTATCCAAGTGGCTCTGCAAATTCAGGGTTTCATTCATTCTCTTATGGCCCACAACTGGAGCAGAAACTCAAAAACTGTATTCAGGGAGAAATCAAGAAATAATACAACTATTGTTTGGGTTGAGTGGTGGCTTAATATCAGGGTGGATAAAAGAGGTCTTATTCAGCCTCCTGCAATTGCAGTGTGATTCAAAACGAGGTGAAATCTGCTGAAAAGGCAGTGAAGAAATTTGCTTAGCAGAGATTTATGGTCCCTCAAGCCTCACAGCAGTATCTCTTTTCTCTCAAATACCACACAAAACACAAACTTGACAATGTGCCTGTTCGTTACTGCTCAGGACATGGATGAAAAACTCACCTGACTTTTTCATTCACTAGTTTATCTTGAATAATTCAAGCTTTTCCAACAGAAAAAGACTAACCTAATAGTTTAATTTACATTGACTTTAAACAATCTGTCAATTCGAATGTCTCATTTATCAAACAATTGATTGATTCATCTGTAACGTTATGTATATTTAAGTGTAATACAGATCATAATTCTAGTCAGACTTAGAGAACAGAGTCTTTGCATGTTTGCTTACATTTAAAATACCTGTGTGCATGCACCGTTCTAGCTGACAGCAGTCGTTATGAAAAAATGGAGATAGCATGAAAAAGAAACATGACACAGACATTACATGTAAAAATGTTCCCTTTTAAAGATATTGTTACATTTGGGTAATAAAACATCCATATTCAGGTGTGATCTGCCAACTGGGACATTCACCTGCACTAAGGGATAATTTCATTATGAAATAAAATACAAAAAGAACAATATAGAAATAAGATATGAAATATTTATTTAAAGATATATTTAAAAAAAAATCACATCTTAACCCTCCTGCAGTCTTAAGAGAAGAGTCATTTAGGCTCCATAAGTTTTTACGCTGTGAGCAGTCCGACAAAGTCGCACTGACAGTAAGTGCACTTTTATGATGGCTTTTTGTGTCTTTTTGGTAACTGACTGTTTGACGGGTTAATCTCCCAGCAATGTTCCTGAACGTTGTGCTAAGATCAGGGGATGTTTAAGAAATTGTGATATCATTTTTTAGTAAACTTTTTCATGTACCCATGTACACAGCCGCATTACAATGACTTTTTAGTGGAGTTGACTGTCAACTTCATTTCACCAGCGTAGTTCACTATAAATAAATAGGTCATTTAACATAGATATAATAAGTATGTGCTGCACAGTCAAATGTTGTAAACACAGAACATGGGCAAAGAAAGAAAAAGTAATGGTGAGAAAAACTGTTAAGGTATGGCTGCAAATTCAGCAAAATAAGGGGCATGACCTATATAGTGTGATTATTATGGTGTGGTTGAGAGGGACAGATAGTGCTCAAGCCGCAGGTCAAATGGAAAATAATCAGGTACTTGGATGCTACAAGATGCATTGTTTGTGGAGTGAAAATATGGCACAATGGCGTATTGGAGTGACAGGAAGTACTTTACCAACTCCCCTGGGAGCCGTTCAGTCTATGGCCAGTGAGTGTCCTTTGTATCATCCATCACACACTTTAGAAACCCAAAACTTGCAGTGTTAGTGAAAAAATATTTCCCCTAATGTCAAAACTACTCAACAACTTCCATGTTATGTTGTCAGGAAATTCTGTTTCAGAATCCATCAAATATTACAGACCACTAAATATTTTTATATTTATTGTCTAAAGTGGGTCAAGTTACCCCTATATCTTTATTTATAAGCATACAGATGCAGTCATACTTTTCTGATACTCCTTGTGTTTGACTTTTTTTTGGTTCTGCAAGTCTTTCTCAGATGTTGTCACAAGATTTATTGGCAATCACTCTGGATTCTTAAGGGTGTCAATTTTAGTCACATTTTGTCCAAGTCTTTACAGACGACACGAGATCCTCTGTCTCAGTGGAGGTGAATGTTTTTAGGGTCTACTGCTTTGTTTCTTTACCCTACCCGCTCAGGATATTTAATAAAGGTTAGATGACATCTGACATCTAACCATGAAAATCAACAATCATACTAAGCTAGAAAATATTTTTGGCCTAGTCATCAGACAGTGATGACAGTGTTAAATGCATCACTGAAAGTCTTATGAAAGCCAGTTTTATGCACATATATCAATTTAAGATTTAGAAAGCTGATGAACCAATGAACAACTTGTTGAAGTCTGAGTACAGTCTTCAGTCATTTGTCTTTTCTGTTTTTGTCTCTCGAGCCTTTTTTGTAGTTTAAAACTCTTATTATAAGTTAGTTACAATCCTCCGACACAAAATGCAATCCAATTTTATTCTCGGACTTAAGATTTTGTTCTGGATTGTTGTTTCTACTTTTCAATGCTTGTTTCTTTGTATTTTGATTTTGACATTCAAAACTCAGTTTAGCTTTTAGATGTTAGATATGGTATTGCTTGTGGTTGTATTGCTTTAACTGAAGAATTTCTGACATATATATGGTACACTCACAGAAAGTGCAAGGTGATTTAAACAACAGCTATGACAATGTTTCAATTTATGAGCAACTCCATGAAGAGACATTACATGAAGTCGTATCACGGTGAGTCATAACACTCATGATGCAGACTAAACATTTTGATTTAAAAGTGTAAAATAAGTTAAAACAGGACAAACATGCTATATGATATATAAAGTATTTGTGGGCTTCATTTACATTTAGGCTAATGGTGATGCTACTCCTAACTGAAAGTAACACAACATAATTATTCTAACATTATTTTGAACAGCTTAGGATTTCTACAAAATCTTACAAATGCTTATCCATGTTGAAAATTACACAAAGGTTGTGCTTTATGACAAGCAATTCTTCAGACAACAGTCAAATACATCACCTCAGACCATTGTGAATGTGTTTACACCAGCTGATATTGTGTTGTAATTCTGCAGATCATGTAGTAAGTAATAACATTTGAGCATCACATGTAAGAACCAAGTACAGAAATCTGAGACTTTAGCTCCATTCATTGATACCACTGCTCAAGAATAAAACTGGCCAGCTAAGAGAAGATTTAAGTGATTTCAAGAGCAAATTAAGAAAGCAAATACCAACTTAAGGACAAAAATCATCAACTTACTGTGGTCTTTCTTTTCAGAGAGAAAACAAAAAACAGAAAGTTAAAATAAATCATTTGAAATAATGTAAATAATAGATAGAATAAAAAACAGATTAATGCTTTTGTTGACTTAAATTGTATGTTTTGTTTCGATTATAAATGCAGAGAAACAGATTAGATTAAACGCTATTGGAAAAAACAATGTAGAGCACTCATCTATGCATTAATTTATCAGACATTTACAACACTGTGTGTTTATATTATATATTTTACAAATATATTTGTAAAATATACAAACTGGTTTGAGGAGGTACATAGGACAGTTGGATTCAAATATGTACATACCCTATAATCTTTTTATCTTCCACTGGAACTTTTTATGATGAATTTTGTACATGAAGAAATTAACCTGGTCGCTTTTTTTTTTCTTCTAATTTTTATGCATTCAAATGTTACTTGATTACAAGTGACATGTTTATACACATTGAAGGAATATTTTCCTTTTTTCACATTTTGGTCACTTTCCCTTTTCCAGTATTCCTCACATCATGATTCTCTAGCATAGCTATCTGCTATGGGCCAATGAGCAGAGGTTTAACAGCATGAGTCTCCTCAGTTACTACAGAGCCTATCAATCGACTCTCCTGACTCACATATTGAGAGAATCCCCATGGCTCAGCATGCTAGAACTGGCTGACCTTTCCTCACTGCTCTCACATGTACAAAACAATTTTTTCCTCTCACTGAGACTCATAAGAAACCAGAAACAGTGTCGGTCACCTGGGGGCTTGAAATTTAGAGAAGTGACCAGGAAGTTGCAAAGAAGAATGCAAAGTTCTGCCCCAAAAGTACTTACTTTGCTAGGTAGCCTGACTAAGAATGTTTGGCTTCCTGCTGTGAGACGGAACACTTGTGGTGTGCCTACCCTAAGGCAAAGATTGAAAACAGTGCAAGACAGAGAAAAGGCAGAAAGGAGGGGTAAGGGATGCATTGGGGAGTTTGAAATGTAGCCCAGATCTGGTATATTCAGAACCCTGAAGGAAGAAGCTGGTGTAGGTGGGAGGATACACCAAGAGGCCCCCTGCTGTGAGAGCCAGGGATTGGGCAATCCGTCAGCAAGCTAATCAAGCTGATTTGGAGCATACAGGGACCCGGGCTTCAGATGCTAGTGAGAAGCACTTAAGCTACAGCTTCTGCTCCTATATACTGGTCTGATTTAAGCTACTCTGGCAGTGCTCTTATCAGGACCCACAGTATTAAAGAGATTCTTACTAGGATGATCTCACTGGCCCCCCTGCTGCGCTGCAAGGCATCCACAGCAAATCAGGCTCACTGCTATAGTAAGTTGAACCCTTCAAAGGAACCTGTGATTTTGCTGGGAACTTCACTTTTTTTTTTCTTTTTTTTGTTCGATATGTATATTTTTAAAATCAAGAAATTAAAAGAAAAACAACCTAAAACAGTATTAAAATTATCATTTCATTTATTAAGGACAAAATATATCCCAACCATCATGACATTATGTGAAAGCCATGAATTAGGTTTGGCTAACCTCAAATATATATAAATATAAAAAAAACATATTTCAATTTCAGTAGTCACACAAAAGTTTACCACCAGCCCAAGAATTACGTAAAAAAAAAATAAAAATGTCTGACATAAAGTAAGCTGAAAAACATTTCTAGAAGTATAACACTATGCCACCATCTAAAACACAGATGATAAACATAATCTTTGAAATGTATCAGACTGGCAAGGGTTACAAATTCTATTGTAGCTTTTTGCAGTGAGAGTCCTTTTCCGTAAATGGAGAAAACATAAAACAGTATTTATGAGAACCTGTTCATCCCATAATCATTACAAGAACACTTTAACAAGTCATCCAGGAGTTCAGAAAAGACCTAAGAACAACATTTAAAACTCAGCAGGTCTCACTTTTCTCAGCTCGGGTCAAAGGTCATAATTAACATTAAGAGTCCGCACCAATGATTGTTCAAGCAAACCCCCCCACCTCCCAAAAAACACTATTGCTCTAAAATAGCAGAAATGAATGAACCATATTTGCAAAAAAAAAAAAAAAAAAAAAAAAAAAAAAGAAAGTAAAACAACAGAAACAAAATATAAGACAAGAACTGGTCAGTCTTAAAGAACCATAACAACATTATCAAATGACATCTAGTATGTGTAATACTTAAATATGCAGATTGTTTCCCTGTTGAGTGAAGAATGCGGGAAAAGAATCTAGCAAAAGAGAGAAGAATGAAACCAAGGGGGGGATAACGTTTGAATGATTGAAATCAGAAAAAAAGAAACAGGCTGCTTAGGCCATGGGGATCTGTTCCAGATAGACTGTGGGGAGCCCTTGTGGAAATTGCTTAGGGAAAATGCAAGGCCTCGAGGTAGAGCCAGATGCTATAGATGATAGAAAACTTGCAAATTTGCCACAAAAGCGTGCAGTGTATTGGAGAGCATAGAAAACACAAGATGAAGGATAAATATCTTCTCGCCGCAACATCCAAAACCAAAAGGTGTTGATGGCAACAGATCCTGTCATGCTGCACTGTAATATTTCTGCAGCTTTAAGACAATTGTTAAATTTATGGACACATACAAACCGTAACTACAAAATATGCTTAGGAGCTGAAAAGGCTATGTAACTGCCCAACCCTTTGGAAAAATAATATGACCCTGAGCCCATTCTTGAAGCCAATTAGCCAAATCTTTGTTAATAAATCAGGAATTAATTAACAGATAACCATCCAGCTAATGCCTCAAGGTCTGCTCTACAAATGAGAAAAAGACAATTTATATACTGACCAGTGTCAGTAAATGAAAAAGGAAAGTAAGCAAACTTTTTGGAGGTCTTGTCCTGTGTAACTCCGTGTCAACAGGGACAGCAAGAAAGCTTAGCATATTGGTTTTACATCATATTAAGATAAGTACGATGCTGTGTAAGGCCTTATTGGATCTCCAGCGGATTACGGCAGGACAGTGTTGAAGCTTCACAGCATCTGCCTGAGTAATTAGGACTTCAGGGGATGATAACAGACAAACAAAAAAGAACAACAGAAAAAAAATGGGAGAGGAAAAAAAACACAACTGCAGGGAAACAAAAAAAGCTCATTGGCACAGTGATGGAGATGTCAGCAATGCAAACCTCCCCTTATGTGATTATTACAGCCATACTGGAGAGCTGGTTTGGGACTCAGATACAAACTAATTCAAATGCAGGAGCATGTGCAGGCTTGACGATAGTGAGATTGCAGCTGGCCAGTTTTGTTTTTTTATATATTTTACTGTCAACTCTAACCCTTCAAAAGCATTAGAATATCATGTTCTTATCCTAAGACAATATCATAGTGTCAGAGTGATTGAGTGCAACATGCAACATCATGTATGCCATACTCACTGGTGCAGGGTTCATCTGGTTGATCAGCGTCGCCACGGTAGTAGCCATTGCGGCAAACACAGATAGTGGCAGCCTCAGCTGTGGATCGGCTGTTGGGAGGGCACTGCAGACAAAGGCCTGGACCCTGCGTTGATTTGAAAGTACCTGGTGGGCATGCTGTGACAAAAAAAAAAAAAAAAAAGCAATGTCAGTAAATAAACGAAGGGGGAAATTAATCACCCAAACACTAACAGAATGAACCGTATGGGGCAAACAAAAAAAAGTGTGAAATTAATAACAAGCTAAGCTGAAACGTACTCCTGTTGGATCTATTTAGTTTCCCATTAATAAACAATGTGATCTAAGGGATTATGCAGAAGAGATTTGACAGGTAGAAGGTATTATGTTGACCATTAGATTCACAGTTAGTAGGTATTTTGTGTTGGACACAGTATATTTTTACTGTAAATATTAGATTTTTACATTATTATCATGTTTTTTATGTTATGCTGAGAAACTGAAATCAGAACATTTACCCTCATTTTCCTCTGCTTGTGTCTCCACTCCGCTCCACCATGGAATGCACTCCACTTTAAATATGTACCCATTATAGTCAATGAGGGCATTTAGACTGCAGAGTGACAACTTTGTGCTCAGCACCTTTGCACTACCATCCGTTAGAACAGAGCCTATTTTTGCTGGACACCAGAGCAATTGTGGATTCAAACTTCAAAGATCCAGAGGGAAATTCATGAGCAAACTATTCACCAAGACAGACTATATGTTCTCAAAATACTAGCTGCATTAATGAATATACATTCATACACATATGTTGTCAACATATATTGTTTATGGCTATGCAAAAAAACGGAACTTATATTTAATTCTGAAAACAATTAAATCAAGGCAGACAAAGTGAGAAAACAATGGATGGAAAAAGATTCATTTTGAAAGTTGAGCACTTCAATGTTTAATATGACACCATTCATCCTTTTTACCGCTAGCTTTATCAAACAATCTCATTTCCCACACATATTTATCTGTGCATTTCTGGGGTTTGCAAAGCGGGGGAAGCCATATAACACTTTAATCAGGAGAATCAGGGATGTCTCTATTCTGCTGGCAAAGTGCACAGCAGAGAGGAGACTCTGTAAATCTGGATAACGTTTAACAAGTAAAAAAAAACAAACAAACAAAAAAAATTAATCTTTTAAATTTTGCACTACCCAGAAATCTTACTGAACCTCAATGACCGCTCTCCAGCTGATCAGAAAAAAAAAAGAAAAAAATGAAGTGATCTTTAGACCAAATGAGTAATAATCAGGAGACAAATCAGTTTGTGGATGTGCCATAATGCTCTCCAGCTGATCAGAAAAAAATACAAATAAATGAAGTGATCTTTAGACCAGATGAGTAATAATCAGGAGTCAGCTTCAGTTATTACAGCTGAAAACTACCAATACCAAAATTTGGGTCTAGTGATGGACTCAGGCCTAAACCTTAAAACAAATATAGTAACAATTACAAAGTTGTCCTTTAATCACCAAAAAAAAAAAAAAAAAAAAAAAAATTCTAGGATTGAATGACAAATGCCCCAGTAATAATTGGAGAAACTCATCCATGTGTTCATCTTTAGTTGTATTGATTACTGCAACCCTGTCAATCAAGCCTAAATGTCAATCAGTCAACCAGAGCTTGTTGAGGACACTGCTTTTCGCATTCTCATTAAAACTGGGAAGTCAGAGCACAATGCCTGAGTTTGAAAGTCCTTATTACAGAAAAGTTTATGAATGATTGAATGGCTTAGCACCAAAATACATTGTCAACTTGTATCAACCATACAGACCACTCAGGATATTTTTGATTCAAGACTTCTGATTATAAATTTCAAAGGAATATGAGAATCAGCAAAATTTGGACAAAGATTTGTAGAAATTGGCTACAAAACATTGATCGGTGCATCTCTACTCTAACCTACACAAGAACTTATTTTACAAAATACTTAACTTAAAGGAATAATCACTTTAAAAGCCCTTGTTTACTACATTTAAGAACTCCCAATCACAACTTATTTGATTCACCATGCAAGAATTCAAAGGGTATATATCAAATATCAAAACAAACATATACTCTGTTTGTTTAGCCCTACGAACTATAACAAAAATGTGTTATGTTAAAAACTGAAATTCCCCCTACGCACAAGCATTTTTCATTCTGAATATATAAACAAACATTTTAAAAACTAATGCATAGAGGGAAACTGGTTTTTATCACCTTGTCCAGTGGCTCTCCCACACGAGAATATACACAGCCAAGCAACAGTCAAATTTTGGATGGAGTTCATACATTCTTGGCCACAGCTGTGTAAAAATTCATTCTGCGGTTTAACCAAGACTTCAAACATTCAGTTAGAGTGACAACATTACCTTTAATACCACAAAGAGTGGGGATACTTCAGCAGTCTCGGTGGCACCAATTTGTCAGAGTTGGAGTGAGGTGTCAGAGTCCTACATTTTAAAGGCTGTGGTGGAGAACAAGGATTATTGTGGCTGATATCGGTGCCCCTAAGTGAAGGCAATAACCCAATCCATTTACTCTTGCGCCTCAAAAGGATACAAAGCTGAGGAGATTCTGTGCAGTGTGGAAGGGTTTAATGACTATAATAACTATGATAAATGTCTGGTATTTTAGCAAGCTTACTGCTGGGGGTGGAAGCTGTGGTGTAGCTCCACTCTTAAGGGGGGAAGGGTTATAAATTTAATGGGACAAGGCTGATTGATTGCAACAGCTTGACTGTAGATGTAGGGTATGCTCATACTGTGTAAAAACAATTTTTATTCCTTTTTATAGCACTTAGGCAGTAAAAGGTACAATTAGTCAGAGAAATATGAACGCAGTCATGATAAGAAAACAAGAGAAAAAAGTTTTGAGATTTACAGACAAGGACAGAGGAAGGTACTACCCTGTGGTAAGTGTTTCAGGCACTAAAAGCTAGGACTTAATAAATAAGTACTGAATTTGCTTGCAACAAAATGATTACATTGTCTATGAGTAAGAGCCTTTTAGTTCAATATGAGGAGGTTTTAATGGTCACAATGAAAAGGAGCTGGTCCATTTCCTCTGCAGTGACTGGTCAAATAGAGGGAAAAAGCATTTTATGTGAGGGAATCTTTTTAATTCATTATCCAGTTCTTTTGTATGATGTAATTAAAATCTATTCTAATTAATTTAAATGTATTAATGGACTGTTTAAGCTTCTGGTCTAAGGCATATAAAGGTTGATACCTGGTCTTATGAATCCTTTTTTCAAACTTTTGAAAAGCCCTTCCTGGCTTTTAATGATAGAGATGCAAAGAGAAATCCTGCTGAAACAGAGAAAAATAGCATGCAAACATAACTGAAAAGGCTATCTCTCTAGAGGATGTTTTTCAGTCTGATTCGCTGTGCCCGACAGGCACACCTGAGGCTAACTGAGTAACTTACTGTGCAGTCACACAACACTGTTAAAAAAAAGTGTTATACAACTACATTCATCAGCCTTATTTAAACAGATTTTATTTCCCCAAAAACCTATACAACTGAGGAAACACTAAATGTAATAAACTCTAAGAAACACTTTTTTTTTTTTTTTTTAAAGATTGTTTAAGAAATAGAACGAAAAGTATGTAAAGCTGTAACTTATATTAAACAATAAACATAATTTTATATATTTGTTAAAACTGTCACTATACTGTAACAGGATGGTATGAAACAGGTACACAATTGCTGTATATAAAGCATAGATTTTGCAATAGCAAAAGTGCAATCTCCAGAAACGCATCACTCTTGGTCAAAGAGCCACAAGGAACACTGTCAATCATGCCTGTGTATGCATTGCTAATGGCAAAGAAACAAGTTACTTGTACAGGAAAACTTTTTTCATCCACAGTCATCATTGGGCATTCAAACTTGCTTGATCAGAAGCTGTGGCATAGCAGAGAACGAGGGAACGGGTGTGAGCAGCACATACACAAGTGCATATATAGTGCTATGACCTTCCTCCTAGAACTGATTTGATAGTTTCTCATCCAAACTCTGTATTTCTGCAGTTAATACCAGGAGCACTGGGAGAAGGCAGAGGAGTTTGACATTTTCATAGTTTATTTGTCTCATACTATACTTTCACGACATAGTGACAGTATTAGTGATAAAATTGTAAAATCATATATATTTTAATAAGTAAGTGATTTCCAAAGGAAAACAAATGAGTGCAACAGCACGCATGTGGACAGCAAAGGGCTGTAACATAAAATGTTTAGAATTCAATGGCATGTCTGTCTGTGATTGATCTCAATGTACTCTGACTTACTTACTGTCTAGTCACAGAATACCGTTAGTAGGGAGTAGGCTCATTGTGCAACAAGATACCTTTTTCCCACTAAGTGAAAAATATGATTTACTGCTGTAAAATAATCACAATTTTTAGAGTTGTTCAATGTGGAACGTTCTGATTGCAAATTTGGAAAGTTGTGATTTACTAAAATACCAAAAGAGCCATCACAAGATAAAACAGCTGGTCATACTGTGAGGACAAAACAGGAGCAAGAAGTGCACATTTTTTTTTTGTTTGTTTTTTTGTATAACAATAACTTGCCCTTAGCTTTTTTAAAGTTTCTACTACCAATTTCAGTTGGAACAAGTGAAACTGATGATTGTTAAATCCAGCTAGCAGACAATCAAACACCAGGGAGACTGTACAATAAGCACTGAGATGGAGAAACAAATCTTAATCATTCTGAGCCACATTAGCAATATATAAAATAATAATAATAATAATAAAAATAGCAAGAGCAAAAGTGCTGGCCCTAGTACTTTTTCTTGTCACATTTAGATGTTAGGAAGAATACTAATCAGTATGCATAATGCTTACGATTAAAAAGATTTAAATTTGGTCTCAGAGGTCTGTATCTGAAAGCTACAAAAAGATGTTCTATTGTCATGTACAGTGTATACATTTGACATGTGTTTCCTCCAGAGATTTTTTTCAACGTAGCCTGAAGAAATAAATTTGATTTTTAAACAGTTTCTGGTTTGTCTGACATGAAGATAGAAAGGACGAATATCTCAAGATCGAAAAGTACATGAAAGAGATACAAACCAAATTGCAAGACCTGACTACAATGGTCATAAAAACCACA